GCCTCTGTGATGTCCGCGATAGGTCTGTTCTTCTCTGTATTCTGGTTATTATTCCGTTTGATGGCTGCCTTCGCCGTGCTGCGACAGCCCCGCTCGCTCGGCTCTCCGTATCTCTCCGCGTCGAGCTCCTTTTCTCCTCAGCTATACACACACACTCACACACAGACAGCCGGGCAGGATCGTATTGCGCTGAGCTCTGTTTTAAAGGGACAGACATGGACAGACTACGCGTGCTCACACAGAGGCGCGCGCGTACACGTGACGTCACCCCGGAATTCCCTGACAGCAAAAACTGGCACCGAGTCCGACTACCGGTACCGGAGCTGCTGCTCCAGCCCCCTCCTGGACGGGTTTTATTAATTTTAACTCCAGAGGTTTTTTTTTTAGGCAGACTCGTGACCGACTGCTGGACTCTGTGAACAGCGTCACAGCATAGTTCCGTGTGACCGACTATTTTTGGATGAGGAAGAGTATCAACCCCGTGACGCCATATTATAACAGGAAGACAGACACAGTGTTATGGTTAGGTTTAGCGGACTATAAATAGCATGTAAAGCCCTTACATGGACCTAAATATTCTAAAATACACTTATGAATGGGTTATAACCTAGACTGTAGACTTCATCTTTGCAATGATGAATAAGGCACACACACTGTAAGATACATACAAGTATGTTTACACTGCTCTAAACATGCACGTTTATTTATTTTTTTAATAAAGGGTTTATAAGCGGTAACTAATGGCTTTATAACAAATATTTAAAGTATTTGCAAATTATTTAAAGATCAGTTAAAGGCCATTTAAAAAAAAAAAAATTTGGATTGCAAGTTGCGAAAAAATCCCTTTTGCTGATCATTTATTATTTGTAATAACAGTTATTAAGTTGCAAAGTAATCCATTAATAATTGCTTAATAAGCTGTTAGCTGTTCTCACGACTTTTCACAACCTGCACGGCCACCCAAAAGTTGCTTTCAAAATTAGTTGATATACAAAGTAGTAGTAAATGTCTTAACCATAAATAAAGCTTATTTACAACCATTTATAAAGGTGCCTTATTAAAGAGAGGTATTTATTCTGCATGCAGACTTACACCTATGCTCAGATACTCCCTGTTTTGCATTGTTCAGTACAGTTGCTGAAAAACTGACACTCTATAAATAATTTTTTATGATAAAATATTCAACCCACTGTGAAATGTTATAGACAGTATGTATATCTCCTATCAACTGTAGGATGTAATAGCGTGTATACAGTGCACATTCGTCTATTCGACAGTGTAAGATAAAGCTAAAACTAATGTGAGATGGATAGATGGATATAAATAAAGTCTGAGTTATGAGGCTTATACATTTCTTATTCTTGTCCAGTAGGTGACATTAACATCTTACATCACATGCCTGTGCGCACAGAAGTATAAGAATTATATGCTGTGTGCTCAGAGGCAGCCAACTAACGCCCTGTGTGAGGTAAACAAGGCTTTGAAAAACACAAATGGGTCTCTCTAAGCCCGGAAACATTTGTTCCAGCTTTTCCTCGCCAAAGTAACCATCCTGTACTCTGTAATAATGCCAAAGAGCCGCATTGGTACAACCAACAGTATGCGTCCCACACACACACACACACACACACACACACACACACACACACGTTGAGGTTATATTAGAAAGCACTGCATCAGCAAGGCAGCAAGACAACACGAGGCAAAATTAGCTGCCTCAGGGAGGATGGGAGTGTGTCACGGATGATGCTGAGACGATGACAAATAGGTACACAAACATGTAGTTTATTTATGGCCATAAGGATTCTAAAAACAGCAGCATAAACAATACATTCAGAAAATTATGAAACCTCTCTCTGCCTCAGTACAAATAAACTTTCACTGTCTGTTCTTAGGTTACTCACAGTATGTTTTGACATAACTGAAGGCATTTCTACTTTTGTTAGTATGCAGCGAAGAGTGACAAGGGATGTGGGCTGGTGCACTAGATTCAAACTCCCAATGAAGTAAGTGCATGGCATGTGTGGTATGTACCACCAGGGTGGATGTAGAGTCTATTGTCAAGTGACAATGAATTGTTCAATAATGTGTTTTGTGCTGAGAAAGAAGGGGGACGCAGCGCACTGGGAGGCCGTGTGCTGCTATATGGATGTTTTGTTTTCGTCCGTTAAAGCCTGTGTGGAAAAATTAGCAGTCTCGTGGGACATATAGTTCATTCAGTACTGTACAGAGAGATTAACTGTAATTTTTTTTTTTTTTTTAAAGTGTGCTGGCCATGATGGAAGCATTTGCAGCTTCTAGTGTGTCTGCAAAAGTGGGTAGAGCAAAAAAAAAGTAAGAGCAAAAATCAGGAGTAAATTTGGTACGTAGTAAATTTGTCTGCAAATGGACTGAAGTTGCCCCTCCCCCCAAAAAACCCTGGCAATTAAATTCCAGATGATGTAATTACATATTCCATAAACCTGCACCCTAATGTTATAATTAGTATGTATATTATAATACACCAAGTCAGCTGAAAAGACTTTTTATAACAACATCTGGAAGCTGTTACACCCTGAATTGCTGCAGTCCTTAATTAGCTATCGGAGCTGTAAACTAGTGCATTCTGTATATAGGCTATATATTATCTGCTTCTCATGGTGTCCATTCAATTTCTGCACTGGCCTCTCCTGCACAAAAATAGACTTACTGACTGGACTATGCAAATGTGATGCTCGTGCTTCATGCTTGTGTATGAAGCTATGTTTTCTATTGTAGTTTTGCTTTCATCTGAAGTTATATTATCTTCTCATATTGCTCCCCGTGATTTATATTATTAGCAAATCTTCCATTAGGTGAGTTGAGAGTGTCTCAAGTGTGCGACTTTACTCTCCTCTTTGTGTGTGTCAATGTGTGACTGTACTGTAAAGAGTGTGGTGAACAGGAAAAGGATGGCTGATTGATGTGGGCATGGGTGGGACTCTAGTGTACCGCGCACGCACGCACGCACGCACGCACACGCACACACACATACACACACCTTCAACTTCCTCCAGCTGTTTCTCTTATAGATGTACTGTATATAACAACAGTCTGAGAATATTCTTCCTCTCCCACAACAAGGGAAGCCAAGGCATTACAGTCTGTCCCGGGGGTCCCAAATGTGTGTGTGGCAGGAAGGGACAATAAAGAGAAAAGAAACTTGTGAGGCACTGTGTGTTTAAGTTCTTACAGCTCTTATGCATTGTAGCAATCCTGTATTTCATGTGTGTGGAAGGGAGACAGGCGTGTGTACGGTGGGGACCTTGTGTGTGTAATTAAAGACATCGGGGACAAGGACGACTTAGTTCTCACACTCCAAATATATATATATATTTAGCCGCCCACCCAGGGGTACGAGCCCCAAAATTCCTGTCATACCAGCGACACGCGCACACACGCGCACGCACGTTTAAAAAATAAACAGCACGTAATACTGATGAGGTCCATACACAGCAACAGCAGAAGAAAGAAAGTATGCATGTGAGCGAGTGAGTGTGCTCTGCAGTCGTAGGAGACTGTGTCCCTGGTACAGATGGTACTTCTCAGCCTCTGATATGTAGGATTGTGTGTGGGACTGTGTGTGTGCATGTGTGTGAACATGTGGCATACCGTGAGTCAGCCTTTTGGGTACACTGAGAGGCCGACAGACACGATAATCATCACCTCCACGCACATAGTCACATACAGTCACAGCGAGACAGACAGACTGGCTTAGCACACCCACATATAGCAGCCATGAAGCTAGCTGATAATTAGGCTCCTTATTCAAGGAGAGTGGAGCCGATAGGGAGCCGGCTTTCCCACTAGTTTCTCAAACAACCTAATCCCGACTGTAGCTCTATGATAAGCTAAGTGCTCCACTCCTGCTTAATATACTCACTAGCCCAAAGTTACACATATTGAAGAAGTAAATTCCACTTAGAGGAGCTTATATAGCTCAGATGGATCTTAAAAGAATTCATAATTTTGTTCAGAAAATTGTATAACTGGTCAATTTTTTTTCTTAAAAGGTGAAAGCGTGGACACAAACATCATCCCATGTGTCTCTGTTTGGTAGATAATTGGCTTTGGTGCTAAATGCTAAAACTTTAGTATACACTATTAGGGTTGCTCTGCCTTAGCCATGCCGTGATGGCTTTTTGGTACTTTCAGATATTTTACTTTTTACTAATCTCACTTTTCATCCATTTTGGAGCTGCATCACGTTGTTGTTGATGCAAACTGAACATACACAGCTGTTGCTTCACATTAAAAGCTTTCCCGTGACTATCACAGAGTTAGCCGAGCTTCATTAGCAGTGCTATGCTTCAGTAAAAACAGCTTTAATCAATTTGGTGAACTATTTGGTCAGCAGTGCAGTTATGAATACTGCAGGGAGGATTAGTACAAACAGAATGGTCATGTGAAATCAGTGGTATCACAGTAAATGCAAACTTTGTTTGAAAAGTGTCACTTTAATAGTGCGTATGATGTCCAAAACATATCTATTTGAAAAAGTAAACCTGGATTAATATATTGGTACAGACTTACTCTTAAAATGTAGGCCTGCAACTACTGCAACTGTACGCTGTGGCTTCGAAGAGCAAACAATTGAAAGTTTGATATTTGACTCAGAGGGCCTAAAGTACACACCTCAATCACACACACACGCTTACACTATTCATATAAGGAACTGTTGACTTTTCATAAGTATGAGCAATTGTAAGAAGGAGCAGTGGTCAACTCACACCCATGATTTGCAACCGTCCTACCTAGATTCTCAAACTAATGAATGTGTGTGCATAATGAACTTTCTGTTTTACTCACTATCTGTTGACACACTTCACTCTGTTGCTTTACCTGTCAAAACTACCTACTGTACAATGGAGCTTGTGTGTGTGTGTGTGTGTGTGTGTGTGTGTGTGGATAGGAACAGACTAAGCAAGGTGAAATCAGAGGAGAAGAAACAATGTATACTGTAAGCTAAAACAAAGCCTTACCTGGTGATTATGGGTAATGTAGACCGTCTGTTTCAGCAGGCCAACATGACACCTCCCACCTCCTGAAACCACAACATGGAGGAACAAAGGTCAGTCTGGAGGTCGAACAGTGTCAACTATAGTAGCAGGGAGGGGCTGGGCACAACTCTAAAAGGATACTGTTCAGTGTTTCCTCAATATGCGGTCATGACTGCCACCACTAAAATTTCTCATGATCATTAAACTACGCGCTACAAATGTTTTCACTCGCACACTGTGCGCGCACGGCAGCACTCAATGCTCTACTCGCTTCCTCTCCTCGTTCTATGCAGAACATACGTGACAGATTGTGTTATAAGAGCAGCGTAACTCTGAATCAGGAGGTGCGTAGCAAATGTTTGATTGTCCGAGCGGCAGAAAGTGACGGTGAACGCGAGCGGAGGAAAATATTCTGGCAGTAAATGTACAGTGTCTGTTACAGTGTGTCAGCTTCTCAAGACCAAGAAAAGTCTGCCGTTTCCCACCTGCTGGAAAAGTGATGCCGGTTAGCGCTAAGTTAGCTAACATCTCCCCTCCCCTTCAGACTGCAGCTGAGCAGGAAAGCTTCTACAGCAGCTGCTTTGCAACTTAACATTAGCTCAATTTATAGAAAATAACTGGAAGCTGTATTTTATTACTGCCTACTTGTCCAATGTTGAGAACATCAGGTACAAACTGATGTAGCCTGCAGCTCAGTCATGTACAGACTGATTCAATTATTTTTCAGTTTTCAGTCTGAAAAAGTGGTTTTGGAAAAGAAAGGACGGAGGTGACTGGAGGAGCTGAGGTTAGTAAAGCTAATTAGTGAGGTAAACTAGTCCTTTTAAGCTAATGAGGAGACATTTCTTTTTGGATTTTAATGCGCAAATAAAATGCATCTCAGAAGGGAGGAGGTTTCTCATGTTTATTTTTTATTTTATTGTCTACAGAAAAATGTCAGAAGCTGTAAAATGAAGACACAAAAGGCAAACATGAACAGTCGTATCTATAATGATTCTGAGGACATATTAACAGGGTTTTCCTGCCGTTAAGGCTTCGGGGTGATGCCCAAAACATGCTGTGCCATCACTGTAAAATCACTGTGGAGCAACAGAACCAACAAAATTACTTTCTCCAGATCTAAAGATTGTAGTTCCTCCAGTAGACTGATCTTTGGCTGTTGTTTATTTATTATCTGCTCTAGCTTTTCCAAGTATTTTTTCAGAGATATGGTGAAAATAATGGCCCAATATGATGTGAAATTACATATTTTTCATCAGAAAACATAAACTTTTCTTGGGGGACCACCCCCAAAACCCCCGACCAACACCAAATCATTCATCTATAGCTATTCTAAAGTGCATCGCATGATCATGGACACAAGAGCAATGTTGCTGAGACATGTTGTGTTGGGGTTTTATATTCAGACAAAAATTTTGCTTCCCAGACGCTGGGGAAACACTGAAGTTTACTTTTTTTGTGAATTGTGACTATTTTTTCAGGGGTGCGGGCACTGTTGAAAAAAATCCTAGAGGAAACACTGCTGTTGCATTGCTTGATCAAAATTCACACACACACAAAAATAAAATCAATCACAAGAGACTGAAGTCAACATAAAGTCACATGCACCCTTTTATATCCATTACATTTCACCTGTGTAACAATATTCAGCCACTTTTTCCACAAATCTGTGGTTTAACATTGTTCTGCAGTGAAGTGTGTTCGGGATGATGAGGCGTTTTTGTCAGGTCAAACACGTGTGTGACATTCCAGTGTGCGCTGAAGTTAATCAGCACTTTGAAGGTTAAAAGATCAACACCTATTTTAATCCATTCCCTTGTGTCATCATACATGTGTGACGTTTGCTGACTGTTCTGTGGTCATGATGTTGTCAATATGTCACTTGGTGTGGCTTATGAAACTGTGTGTGTGTGTGTGTGTGTGTGTGTGTGTGTGTGTGTGTGTGTGTGTGTGTGTGTGTGTGTGTGTCAGCCAAAATGCACAGCAGGGCCTGGCCTAGTGCTGTGGCCATCTGTGTGTGTGTGTTCCTCGTGTGCCGCCTGTTCAGTGAGTGTCAGTGCCGGGACACATGACTAAGAACAGGTGGCACTCAGGTTTACCTCCCCACCCCCCCAACATGCACACATAAACACACACACACACACACACACACCTCCACCTCCACCCCGAGAGCACACAAAGCCTGCGATGGTGCTCAAACACAAAAACGGACATGGTTACTCAAAAAATGCACCACACACACACCACAGACAACAGTGAGAGGAACAAATTGACACACACACTTTCTATCTCTCGTATGCACTCACATTCACAGGATGTGCCCTTTAAACAAATGGTTGCGGGTGATGCTAGTCGCAAATGTCACCCACTCTCTTACACCCCCCCCCACACACACACACACACACACACAAACAGCTTACATGTAACCAATCTGTCCTCTCCCTCCTCTCTCCTTCTATAACATCTATGTGACCACTGACCTGCACCGCAAAGACACTGTGTCCGTTTTGCTTTTGTTAGGTATACACAACTTTTTTTGGTGACTGCACTGTTGGTTCATGTCCGTGTTAAAGTGTCAGCAGGGAACAGCAAAGTCAATTATCTACTACTAAAGATACAAGGATTAATTTGGTGTCTGTTCCCACAAACCAATGTCCTGTCAGAGCTGAAAGCCTCTCTGTCTTTCACTCCTCTCATCTTCCCTTACTCATTCTTCTATTTTCTTCCTTCCCTGTCTTTCTTTGTCTCGCTCTGATAATCTACCTACAAGGCTGAAACATAAAACACGCCCACAAACGGAGGCTTCCATATGTATCTCTGTTGAGCCTGTACACACGGAACCAACGCAATATACACAGCCTAAGGCAGCTTGTGTGCATGTGTGTGTGTGACAGTTGTGTCAATACGAGGCAGATATAGCTGGCTCAGCCTTCACTGATCTTGCAGCCTGGTGGTGAAGGCCCCAAACCTTTGAACTCAAGGTCAAAGGTCACACCCCCTAAAGGGGCCACAGCTGGCCCCGCTGTAAAGGTGGACTGGCTGTTTGTGTATGTAGGTGGGTGAGGGGGAATGCGGGCGAGAAACAGCCACCTTAAAGAGAAGGCATGCCAGGCAGAGCAAATGTGTGTGTGTTGGAGGCCGAATTGTTGCGAGGGTAGAATATATTCTTTCATGACACATCGAATAAATGTCACAAGCTTTGACATAATCATTTGACCTTGATCAATATCAGGACTGTGGGGAGCGGAAAAGGGGAGGTGAAAAACATAAAGACACAGTGAAAGAGAGAGAGAGACCTTGGCAAGGCAAGGAAAGCGAAATTGCAGAAAAGCTATTGAAATACATTTTAAAATAAAACTGATGAAGACAGATAACATGTGAGGGAGAACATGAGAGAAATAACGAAAGGCTGAGCAAGCAAGAGATAGAAAGATATAGAAAGTGGTGTTTATCTTTTGTCTGTAAAGGTTAACCAGTGGGAGCAACTCACTTTGACATTAACCAGCACAGAGAGAGAGAGAATGGCAGAGGGGTGGAGTAACAGAGACTTTGCTTAGAGGTGGAGAGCAGAGGAGATGTAGATGCTAATGTGAGGGGGGGGGGGGGTGTAAAGGCCTTGAGCCAGGCAAAAGATGAAAAGGAGGAGAAACCAAGACAGACTGAGAGATAAGGAGAGAGCTAAAACAGAGCAGGGCTGGTTTGACAAAGACAGATGGGAGGGAAGAGAGAATTTAGTGTGTAGTATTGTACAGAGTTGTTTAATCTAGCTTTCAGAGCAAAAAACAGCACTGCGACTAAAAGCAAGAGGATCTGTTGGAAGTAACTAGTAACTAAAGGTACAGTGAGAAGATGAAATGTGATCCAGGAAGTCCAGTTTGAGAAGTAGATGAAGATAAATAGCTTGAATGATTTCCCAACTCAGTCGATCAAATGCCATGACAGTCACATTAACAGTAGAAACATACATTTAAAGTTACAAAGTAATCAGAAATGGGTGCTGTGACGTATGTGAGCCAGGTTCAACTTCTTTGCTGAGTGGCCCTGCAATTTCAAAGACATGGTATAGTTGTAATAAATGAAGGGGCTGCTTTTTTTACCTGCTAATATATATAATAATAAATATTAGCTCCCGCACACTGTCTTGTTTATTGCAGATTAATGTATTAATTCAGTCTAAACAACCTTGTTTTTAAAACACACAGTCGCCCAGGTTATTAGACAAGCATTCCATCTTAGAAAATACTAAGCTGTCAAAGGTACTATTGTCTTTGAAACAACAGACCTAATATGCTAAACACATAGCCACATAATGCACTTATGTAATTAAGTACACACACCATTCTGTTCCATTGATGCAATTTGTGTGCACAATCTGACACCTGCGTTCCTTTTTAAAAGGAACCCTGTCTTACTGCTTTGCCGCATAGTGTACATACTGACCTAGTGTATACAGTACAATCAGCACATTCACCTAACAGCACACACACACACACACACACGCACACACGCACGCACGCACGCACATGTCCTCAACATGTGTGAACCTGCATGGCGTGAGTAAAGTAGCCATGCCTGGGCTGCTCCAAGTGATTCAGTAGGTCTCTTCAAGTTGGGGCAGCAAGCTTCATACCTGCACACACATACACACACACACATGCACGTGAAATAGCAGGCTGCTGCAGGACTGGTGGTAAATGACAGGCTTTTCTTCTTCTGAGCCTGCCTGTGTGTCCCTCTGTGCCATGGCCGTTTGTCTGCTGTGATTTCTGTTGTGTGTTTACCGGGTTACTACCCAGAACAGGATAAATCCTTAAATGAAGCTTTGGCAAAGTCACCAGCCTGGGGTGGATACTACAATATTCGGGCTAATCATGAGCGAGGACACTTTGTTTTGTGAACAGCTTCAGATCTGCTTGGAATGCTGTCACACCACATCCTGAACTTGTGTGTGAGATAAGGACATAAGGAGTGTGCTGTTGTTCAAGTTGTTTGAATGGCAGGAGGAGGTGGTAAGGCCCCTCTGTGCTGGTTAATCGTACTGTTG